CTTCAGGTATTTATAACTGATAAAATCCCCCCCAGCCTTTTCTTCAGGACAAACAGTCTAACCTGCCTCAGCATCCCCTTACAGAAAATTTACATCTAGAGATTCAGATCACTGAGAAGTGAAGAATTCTACTAGCAAGGTCAAATGCATGTCCTTAGTGGGAAAAGAACAAAATTACAAAAGTTTTGGGACAAGTTCATAAACAAAAGATGTTAGTAACATAAATGCAGCTTGTGGAAAAAAATATCAAACACCAGACTCCTCCCACCCCCAGCATTAGTCAGTGATTTGACTTTATAGACTTCATGCACACACCCTGAAAAGATGCTCAGAGGGTGAACAAACCTACCAAGAGTGAAAAATAAAAGACTAAACAATATTATTCTATTCTTCACCATACTCCTTCTAAGAGAAGAACTACAGAGTTCAATTTGAAAAAAAAATACGTTGGCTTGCAGCTAATTAATATCTTGATATACTTGCATTAGCCTTTTGGTTAAACCTTTACAGGACAAGTCTATCACCTTCCTCAGCTGAATTTGTCAGGTTTTTTTTCCAAGGTAGTTTTTACACTCTATCAGCACAGAAGTAAACTGCATGTTGTGCCTTATGCATCTCTCCTTCCTTTTTGGGAGATGGTAGAATTGGCATTAAGCATAACCTAAAACAGTTCTACACAGTCTGTTCCAGGCAAGAAATTCAAAGGCCAGAATTTCAGTCCAGGACTTTAGGGTTACTCCAGAACTCACATGCTGTTTCCTTGCTTTTGAGAAAAGCAGCCTTCCTCAAACTCCTGGCAAGCACATCCATACAGCACCATCTGTATGGCTGCCACAGAAATCTATATGCATATAGATAAGCGATTGTTTGCTTTTTGTTTAGGATCATGCTATTTTTAAAAGCAGAAGAAAAAATAACTTCTTTAACGATATTTTAAAATATTTACTTTGTCACGTGGATAAATGTGTTGCTATGTGCACAGATGTTTCTGTACTTAGCATGGGCACAGCTCAGGATAGTCTCTACTTCCAGAGAAGAGGGCTCTCTCCCTCCTTCCCTTCCCAGCAAACAATACAACTAGTGTGATGGTTTTAAGGGTATTGGAAGAGGTGACACATTTGTGTGTGACACATTAGGCATACACATTGGTAGGTCTAGCATGTCTCTTCAGATTTAGTACTTGTGATCCTAAAGGCAATTCAGGTCTCAAACTGGCTTGTTTTTGACAGTAACTCACCTGTGAGAAGTTGGATGACACACATGAAAACCTGAAGACTATTTGCTAGATAACTTCAGTGTGTCAGAGAATAGAAGTTTAATTTAAACCTAACTGGTGTGCAATCCAACACTGGTCCTTTTCTGATGTTTAACTACCATAAACAAATACATGGTCTTACCTTTGAGACTTGGGGTGACCAAAGTAGATATGAGACTTCCAGCATTAATGGACAAATAAAAGAGAGAGAAGAAGGTACTTCTTTGCTGTTCCTACAGTAAAAACAGAAAGACATTTAGAAAGGCTTAGCCAGAACCACATTGATCAGCCTAGAATGGACAATCAGCAACTCTGTTTTAACAGTTCAAGGCAATTACTTACCTTAGCTCCTTCTTCAGCTACTCAGGAAACACTGCAATAATGCACATGTCTGAATATATATATTATTAGAGTGTAATAGCCAAACATTAGTTACAGTACCTGAATAACTGTAAATCTGAAAGACACTTACCTGATCATCATCAAACTGATCTCCACCAAATGCTGACACACAAGGTTTGATCCCACCAGTACCAAGTGCAATGAGGACCAGGCCAATCACGGACAGAGCACTGGAACAAAGGAGAAAAGAGAAAAGGAAAAATAATTACTTGGCTTTCTTTCTTAAAGCATACATATGAGACTGATTAAAAGACAGTTGAAATTCAAGTAGCACAAATTTAAGGTGCAATTTGTCCCACCCTTCACCAGTCTGGAAAAAAGTCATGTACAAGGCAACTCACATGTGCAATGCTATATTATCAGGAGTACCATTCTTGTCCTGATCTGTCAGGTCACTTATAGAGCCCACAGCCAAGACTGCCTGCCCAATCGTATAGACAATGGACAGGGCAAAAATGGTCCTGTTGTAAGGAGAAAAGGTACATTTTCTTAGATATGTCAACAGTTACACACATATAATGCACATAGATAATTACATACAGATAATGCAGATTAAACATAGACAACGCAGACTTTTCCTCATTTCAAAGATGCTTATCAAAGCAGTACAATTAACAGAAATTATAAGTTTTGGACTGAACTTTTTACAAGCTCCTATAAAAATCTTCCCAAGCACCTCTGCCACAACATTTTCATTCTATTTTTTTTATTACTATTATTTTAGGTAGCCTTGTTTAATTAAGCAAGACAAGATGACAAATGGATTCTGTAGATATCACCAGGCCACAGGAAATATTTAAATATCTTCAGCAGTTGTCTTTTTAATAACCAACTAGAGAATGCCATTATCATATTTCTTACATGGTGAAGTTCAAGTGGACTCCTCTACAATACTGAAATATGCTATTTACACTGATGTTAGTATCATCAAACATTCTCTATGCTATTTTATACTTTGTGGGGCTCTGCAAAGTCATACATAATTGGCATTGCATAGATTGTACACAATTAAAAAAATTGTGATTTCTGTATTATTTCCCCCAAGAATTTCACATCTAACAATGTGAGAGCAGGACCCAGCATGGTCCTTGGCAGACATTGCCACAAAGTGCATGGACTGTAAAAGACCTGTGTCTCTCATTTAATAATGCTTAGCAGTGCTTGGCTAACCTCCTCCTCCTCTTGTCATTATAGACTTTTAATGTTTAAGCCTTCCTCATGACACATGGCTGCATCATAGAGCATCTATATATTAAACTCTAACTCTGTTTCCTAAAGCTTGTTTTCTCTTGTTGAGCTTAAAGTTCCAGTTTTAAGCCCTGAGCCACCCTACCAAGCTCCTGTTATGGGTCTTGTAGCCAGGGGCTTGCAGTTGCAGCACTGGTATATACCAGTACCAAAGGAGAAGGGATGCAGGGTCGGCAAAGCTTCACCTTGGTAAAACGAGCAAAAGCTAAAATAGATTTTTAAAAAATAAAAGATACCATCTAAAGAAGTGAGTACACAGTATATTTAGGCTGCAATCCACAAGACACCCAGCTAATGTCAATGACTTTGTACTGCTCAGCTCCACAGAGCACACAGGGCAGTGGACACAGCCCCTGGGAGCCTGGCAGATGATGGTGCACGTGACTGCACAGCACGGACAGCTTCATCTCTCATCTCTGGGAGATCTTTGACAAGTCAGCTAAGAGTCATGACTCATATCCCTTCATAAAACCTTTATTGCATTTTTTTTTTAGGCAGAGTAAACAGTATTAGAATCATGACATGGGTAAAGGAGAGTGAGTTAAGGCTGTTGAAAATAACCTGGTTACGTTTCAAAGCACTTCAGTAGTACTTTCCTGAGCAACTAGCACAGAGGTAAAAACACAGACTCCATCGTTTTAAGAAACACTTGCTACTCAGTAAGATTTCTTGCTGAGCTGTCAATATTGAAATCACACAGTATTTTAAAACTCATTCTAAGTTCCAATTAACACCAGATGACACAGTAATTCTCTATTTTTTTACCCAGCTGCAATAGGTAAAGAGGCTGTTCAATGCAATTATAACCTCCAGTATCTATTTTCACAGCTTGGTGAATATTTTCCTTAGTTTAGCTTACATTTTGTCCAGGTGAGAGGAAAAATATACAGCATGCTGCTACCCTTAACTGATTGGCAGAACTATGAAATTTATTTATTCAAAGTACAGTTTCAAGTCTAAGATAAAGCAATTAAAACCGCAAGCTTTGGTGAAATGAAACGAACTATCCTGAAGTAGTCGGCACCAGCTCTGAAGCTGTTGCTCAGATCTGCTGTTTTAGATGATGGTTTGAATAATACTGATTTCAGGTGAGCTTTCAAGATTTTTGGTTCTTTTCTGAGGAAGCACTCACTTAAACTTTCCCAGCCAAGAGTCTGCAATGATCGCTCCAAGGATTGGTGTCAAGTAACACAGAGCAACAAATGAGTGGTAGATAGCTGTGGAAAAGTTGTCCTCCCAGTGCAGGAAATACTTGAAATACAAAACGAGCACCGCTGTAGGAAGAACAACAAACCAACGGTTTACAAACAGAGTCAGGGCTTGGTATGTCAGCACAATGAGACACGGGGCAAGGGACATACCTTTCATGCCATAGTAGGAGAAACGCTCGCAGAACTCATTGATGACGATGAAGAAGATGCTCACAGGGAAGCCAAAGCAGAGTAACTGGAGGCAAGAGACAGAGTGAGCTCAGTGCTGTGCAGCACGGATAACACTGCTCACTGCAGCCCATAGCATAAACAAGCTCAAATACAGACTCAGCAGGAGTGGTAGGTACTCAGGGTCAGAAGGCTGCATGGGCTCCTGCAGAATAACTAGTTTACCTGAACTGAGAGTCAGTTCTCATACTTTTCCCTCTTGGTCCCCAGATCTCTACACACTTCCCATCTGCCCTTTGCAAGAGATCTTTAGCAATGCTGTATATGACCTTCAAGTGTTGCACTGTGCATATGTGAGGTCTTCAGCACCTAATCCTTAAAGCAATCTTGATCGGTATCTAAAAATTTGCAAAAAACCAATGTTTTTGAAAAAAACCCCAAAACATTGTTACATGCTGGTGTTACACGATGGTCTTAGCGGTTCACAATCCACCAAGGCTGGATTTCCATCTTGAGTCACTTGTGCTTATGTGCCTGGTGGAGATGTCCTGCATGCACATGCAGGCACAGCAGTCACTGGTGGGTTTTTACTGGCTGCCCCTGAACTGGAGAAGATCTGCATGTCACAGCTGGAGATGAACATGAACAGGGGCACACACAGGAGAAAGCTACTGGATCTTTCCGAAGGTGACAGACCTTTGGTTTTTCCAAGTTGTTACAAGCAAGAGGAGACAATGTAATTAATCCTTGATAATACATGACCTATACTGTCCTTGTTTAGAACCATACTGTCCTCTGTTACAGTATACATGTGCACACACACTACCAAAACCTTTTCTGTTGTGATCTTCATTGGTCAGGCAGCACTGGATCTATCACTGAAGAGATAACCTGAAGGTTACATTTTATAATGCTCTCTGTAATCTTTTGCCCTGCCCTGGGAACACCACCACCCCACTGCACAGCTTTGACTTTGACTGCTGAGGAAGCCACTAAGCTGAGGGAAAGTCTGTGGAGCAAAACCTTGCAAGATAAGAATGGCAAAAGCAGAGATAGGGTTGCTGAGGCAAGTGTCATTAACAGTTCAAAGATTCAAGAGCAAGAACTACCACTGAAAGGTAAGAGTCCTAAAGGAGAGTCAGTGGATGATGACAACTCAGTCGCACAAAGGATGAAATCTAGGGACCAATCTCCTCCCAGCCAATGTCTGCTCAGTCAGCAAAGGCTCTTCAGATATTTTATCAGGGTGGTAAGGACACTAATGCTTAGCTGGAATTTAATAAGCTGGAATTTAATACTAGGCTGGTTTCACATGTTTTGGCCAATAACTCTTTATTTTATACATTTCATGTATGTTTATAGGCTGGTTTTTACTTTTGTGCACTGCTAAAGTTACCAAAACACCATAACCCAAAGAGAGTCAGTATAGCAACTTTTTATAAGAGAAAACAATACTTACCGACTTGCTACCAAGTCCTCGACCTGTGGAGGGAAAAAACCAAAACACAAATTAACAGGAACTAATAAGTAATACTCTTTTAAAACCGCTGGATGATTCAGAAAAAGTTCAGCTTGAAATAATGAACACACACACACACAGAGTACTGCTCAGGATGAGTAAATATGTAGTTTATTAAAGGGGTACTTTTCATGGTTATTAGGCAAAACATCACGCGATAGCCTTTGGTTTTTCAGGGTGTGCATAGACTCACACTCAGGAAAAACTCAAAAGGACTGATGAGGCAAAGCATCCCATCCTGCTATGACTGCTCACCACACATCATTCAAGGTGGTGGTAGACCCACAGAAGATGAATCATGTTTCAATTTACTCTCAGAGATGTTACTTTAAAGGCAAGTCAAGAGTAAGGGGTAGATTCAAGATGCCCTGCCAAGGATGGAAGTCAGTTCTTGAAGAGGGACAAACTGCCCACAGTTCAGACTGAAAGATAACTGAATACACAGCCCAACCCAGTGATCCATGTTAGCTGGTATTCCCATAACCTGAAAATTAACCTAGGAAGACCTAGAAGCATGGGCATGGGGGTGGGGTGGGGTGTCCCACTGAGGGCAGCAAGAGCAGACAGCTGCTTGCAGCCCTGAAGTCACTTCCAGCTGCTCATGGCAGGACTGCTACCCCTGGCAAGCCTCCAAGCAGAGTCCCTGCAGGCTTGGCTCAGGGCACAGGCTTGAAGGCTGAGCTTGCACTGTGTCAGATAAAGGCCCCATGCTCACATAGTGGATGTCAACATTTCCCATAAAATCACGAGTGAGCTCATTAAGATAAGACCAAGTACAAGATGTGAACTTTGAAATCCCTGCTTGCAAATCAAGTGTGCCCATAATAGATCTAAGAAAAATGTTTGTAAAAATCATTATTTAGTCCATAGTTCACAACCGATGAAACCAGCTGACAGCAACACTATAGTGTTTGCCATCGTACTAAATAAAGTCACGTTCAGAAATTATTAAACAGCTTTGAACAGTGCCAGGGTTGGGGCATCCACTACTTCCCTGGGAAACCTGTTCCAGTGTCTCTCCAGCCCCACGGCAAAATTTTTCTTCTTAATATCTAGCCTGATTCTTTCCTTCACTGCTGTGGACAAGTACTTTCACAAGAGACAGTAGTATTATGCTGGTAATTCAAGGCTATATTTTTCTAGAGAACAAGTAACATTCCAAAAGTACTAACAAACCAAATTCAGGGCACATGCAGGTACATGAGTTACTAAAGTTGTTGGCAATGCCCCTTATAGAACCCACACCAGCAGATACGCTGAAGGATACCAAGGCACTAGCAATAAATCATCTTCATAGGAGCTCCTTGGTTATTTCCACTTATTGGCCTTTCCAGCACACTTGCGTCATATTGCCAGTTTTTTCATAACTTGTACAGAGAACATCAATTTAGGCAGCTCACTCCTGTCTGTTAGATAAGCCGGGAGGGATAATCAAGGAACTGGTTGGCAAGAAACCCTACACAGAGGACATCACAAAGGCACCGTTTTCAGATGACTTGACTGACTTCAGTGTGTAAGAGACACACTTGTTTCTCAACCACTTTTACTTTACCCCTCTATTCTCCCTATACAGGGAGGGTAGAGGAAACTACTGATAGCATTAAAGCCAACATCTCAACATAGGCATCTTAACTAACTGAGGACTCCACTGTCAGGCAGCTTCAGGATTCCACCTACAAAAGCACAAAACTCCCAACATTTTGCACCATTTTCAGTGATAAATCTGGGTTTGCTGGTGGCATGTTGGAGCAATCCCCCCTTGGGGCAACCCTCAGCACCTCTCATTCCCTCTCCACAAAGAATGACCTGAAGAACTACTTGTTTTCACAACAAAATGCTGAAGAGCTCCACATTTTTCAATATAAAGCTCTAAACAGTCATGCACTTTGTATAGCTTAAGATACCTAATTTTTTTAAGAAATGTAAAGACAGAAGCCATGCAGTTCTTGGCTTGACCACTACACCTAAATAATTATTTACCAGTGGGTTACTCTCCTCTTTCCACACTTGCAGGGAAGGTGAGGCAGGCTTATGTCCAATCCCATCCCCAGCAGCTCCCACCACAGTCACAGAGATGCAGTGGGATGCTGCAACTCTTGCAGCACATGGTCCATGACACAAGATGGGAGTGCATTGCCCTTACTCCATGCAGCCATCACAGCAACTTTGCCTGGTTGAAATACTTCATGTACAGACTACAAGCCAGGCTAAATCTGTACACACTCATACTGTCACCTAGGATGTTTCTGGCTCCAGGGCAAGCCTACCTTTCTGTTGCCTGACTTGTGGCACAACCATGCCTGTTGCCTCCTCTCCCTACAGTGGCCTTACAGCACAAGGAAGATGTTATGATCAGGACAAGCAACTCCAGGAGTCCCTGCTTCACACCTTGCCCTTCCAGAAAAAACACTAACAAATAAACCATCTAAGCAAACCTATAATGCAGCAAGCCTGATGTTACATGAGCAGACACAGCTGCATGTGGTTTCTCTCTCTTCCCAGAGCCATCACCATTTCCCAGCTGGCCGCCCAAACCAGCAAGACCCCAGTGCCCCCTGGGCAGCAGTACTACGAGGTTCTGCCTGCTCATCACTGTGGTTGCTTATCCCCAGGGCACAGGTTTACCTGCAGAAGATGCAATGGCACTTCTTTTTCTTTTTGACACCTTTTTGTCTTTTTATGTATGACAAAGTTTTCCAGCCCAGGAATTTCTTGCTAGGAGAGACACACCAATGTGCTCAGACACTGCAAGACCAAGGGATCCAGCAAAGGGAAATGGAGAGCTACACCACAGAAGAGCATCATTTGTGCCTTTACTACTCAGTGTCCCAGTTCAGACAGGAACGAGTCTTCAGGATTAATTAGCTGAATGGACTCTGCCCTTATCTGAATCTTCCAGCTGTATTTATATGTATTTAAAAAGCACTAGGTAAACACTCAATGAAAAAGCATTATTTAACTTGTGAGAAACATGACATTCACCTTGTGGTCAGATCTCAAGATCCACATGCCTTAAAATTGTGAAATAAACCTTACCAAGCAGGGGCTCAGCTCAAAGAACTTACAGAGACCAAGGCAATATTGCTTGGCTCTCACACAAGTCTGACGGCAGACTCGTATAAACCAGGCTACAGCGTTGCCAGAGCTGCCCCGGAGGAAGAGGGATGATAGAGGAGAGCACTCGAAGGTGCCCTCAGCACCGAGCAGCTGAGCCAAACCTGGGGAACTCTTTGGCCATGAAGCCAAATCACAGTCCAGCACTGACACGGGTTTGGAGAGAGACAGCGTGAGCACACCCTGGGGCAGCATCCCTCCCGGGGC